AAAAAGGCCGGGCAGAGTGGCTCACACCTATAACTCTAGCATTTTGGAAGGCTGAGGCAGGACTGTTTCAGCCCAGGAGTTGGAGACTGGCCTGGGCAACATAGTGAGACCTCATCTCTACAAAAAATAAACAAAATTAACTGGACATGGTGGCTTGTGCCTGTAGTCCCAGCTACTCAGGAGGCTGAAGTAGGGGGATCATTTAAGCCCAGGAGGCAGAGGTTGCAGTGAGCCAAAAATCACACCGCTGCACTGCAGCCTGGGCAAGAGTGAGACCCTGTTTCAAAACAAAACAAAGTCCAATAACTATATCTTCCAAATAATGAAAATGCCAAGGCCCAAATATCGGTCTTATATTTCACAAAACTTATCTCCAGCAGAGAGAAATGTCTAGCAGAAAGTTTCCATGCTAACATTATCAGGGCAAAGGTATCCTAATGTAATCTGGCCATTGGCAAACACTAGAATCTGGATTTTAGAAAAATGAAAATTTACAATTGCCTTGAGAGAACATCCCAAGTAATGTGTGTGTTTGTGCACTAAAATATGTTGAGATTTTTTACTAATAAGAAGTCTGTCTCTATTTCTGAAGGTTGTGGAGCATTTGCAGAGCATCACTGGTATTGCCTTCGCAAGCATTGCTGAGTTCTCTTATGCAATCCTGACTCACAGCGTGGGAGCCAACACTCCAGGGCGACAGCAGTCTATTCCTCCCCACCTGGCAGCCAGAGCTCTGAAGACTGTTGCTTCCTCTAACACATGAAGCAGGCTGAATCCACCAAATATAAACAGCCTTCCATCACTGCACTCATGCCTCCCTCTGTTTACTTTCATACTCAGGGTACAAAAGTTCCAAGTCTCTCTTCAATTGTATTTTTATGCCAATTTCATGCTTATTTTTTCTTTATCAGAGAGAGTTGAGGCAGACAAACATGCTCTTTTTGTCCTATCAGCCTGAAAATAAAAATCTAGGTGGAAAGAGATTAATAAAGTTAGTGCATTTTTGTTTAACAAGATATTTATACTTTTAATTTCATTAAGAGGAACATCAGGCATGGAGATTAGTATTAATCAGCGGCTTACAGACTATCTGGGTGACCCTGACTAAGCATCAAGGAGGTAGACTTTATTGCCCCTTAAAATTAGTTTAACATCTCTGTTCCATTATTGAGATCTACATAAGCAGGGCTTCCTCAACAGCTATCTATTTTTACTAGACTTTTTTAAAACTAAAACTAACTCTAAGCATGTTTAAACAGAATTTCCACATACCTGCATTAGAACTCAATTCTCCCAGAATACAAAGTACTCTATTTTAAAGAAAAACTCAACAGTGCACCTCTGGGCAGTTTTCAGACTGTAGCAAATCTTTTATTACAAATAATTAAATCTCTCCGTAATGTCTCAAATAGTATCAAACACTATTTCATATCTCTAACACAGAGCAGAGTCAGCATTCAGTATGAGAACCAGTGAGAAGTGTTAAATTTCAAGCGTCTGATCACATACATCACATGGTGACCAGCTAAAGCTTGGATGTCATTTTCCCACATTATCCAACTGTGCATCTCAAACATATCCTCGTCTCAGTAGAGAAAAAAGTTTCTGTTTCATATTGTTAAGTGCAGGAAGCTGAGAGAGATAAAATCCAGTGAAAACACATCAATCTCAATTCAACTCAGTTTTTTTAAAAAAAAGCAAATTTAAATTAGTTGTTTTCAGGGAAGAAGGAAAAAGGAGTCCATGGCGTTAAGAGTCAAAATTATGACAAGGGCTGGCAGCTATACATGGCATGTTGTAGGTCTGGAAACTGTCACATGATATTTTAAAATAAAGTGGCTTTTGTGTATTTTTTTCTTTTTTGGTATTGTAAACGTGCTGTTTAATATTACCCAAATTTAATTTAAAACATGTTTGCAAACAAAATTTAAAGCCTTTAAGGCAAACCTCTCCCTAAACAAAAAAAGTCATTTGTTATAAAATTGTGAGGATACCCAAGCAAGACCCCACTTAAGATTCGTCAGCATGAACTTGAGAGCTTTTGTCCACTGCTCCTCAGAATTAAACTGGGTTTTGATGGAATAGGAGCCGCCGCTGCCTCCTGTGTCTTCAATCTTGCCTTTCTCCACATCCATCCTGCAGATGGACACAGCAGAACTCATTAGTAACTGAGATCTGAGTTAAGTCAGTTCAGGGCAGGGACTTGGATCATGAGACTATTCACGTCATTTTATCTATTAAAGAACACTTGGTGAGGAATGGTAGTATATTTTGGAATTGCTTGAAAGCCAAAAATCAAGAAGACTGTCACAAGAGCCTCATTGTCATTGCAGAGTACAGGGACAGGACACACACCCAAACAGAAGAGAAGCCGGGAGCAGGGGTGTGTGAGGGTTACAGTACTTCTTGCTGTTTTCCTAGGCATCCCTGAGCTTGGCAGGGGAGAAAGGAGGGAGAAGAAAAGAAATGCTTTGTTTTGGTATGATAGAAGCAGCCTTGCTCTAGGTAAAAACTAGAGTTTCCATCCATCACTGGGATCCTAAAAAATTTGACCAAAAGAAGCATTCCTGTATATTTCCAAGGGCTTCAGGGAAAAACCTTCTTGAAACTGGAAAGCAGGCGTGAGCTCTGTGCCAAGAAAACCCCCTAAACCAGCTAAGGCAACATCCTTCTACTCCAGAGACTAGGTGGTCACATGCTGTCCTGCTTGCAGTATTGGATCAGTCTTTGCCCAACAATGTCATGTGATTCTGTGCCATTTTTTGCTTTCCCACCATTTATACTGATTTGCCTCCATTCTTACTGCTGCTTCAATTCTGTTCAATTTGGTCCTATACAGGTTCACTCAGCACTGGGGTATACTGACCTGTAGGGAAGACAAAAACGTGTCTCGCCTTTCTCAACCTCTTCTTTGAACTGTTGCACACAGTCCAGGAAAGCCACCATTGCATGGTCAAACTTGTTGTCCCAGAAAAACCGCAACCCCCCAGAACAGTATAACGGCAGCTCCTGCCCAAGAAGAGAAAACTGGCTATGCATATGGCACCAAGACAAGCTTCCAGGGATTGTTCCCAATCCAATCAACCTCTCAAGTCACGTTCTGTCTGTATCCCACTGGAAATTTATATTGTGGCTGGACTCTTTATCTTCCATAGATTTGAACAAGTACAATAACCTTGGGCAAATAACAATGCACTTAGAACTGTCTCACCGTCAGTGAAAATGTACCATAGGTTGAGCATCCCTAATCCAAAAATCCAAAATGCTACAAAACCTTTCCAGGGAGAATAGATGGGAAAAGAAAAATAAATAAATAAAAAATGCTACAAAACCTGAAACTTTTTGAGCATCAATATGATGCCACAAGTGGAAAATTCCATAAATTTCATAACTGACACCTTTGCTTTCTGATGATTCAATGTATCACGAAACACAAGCTTTGTTTCATGCACAAAATTATTTAAAATATTGTATGAAATTGCCTTCAGACTACATGTTTCAGGTATATGTAAAACATAGAGGCCGGGCACAGTGGCGCACACCTGTAATCCTAGCACTTTGGGAGGCTGAGGTGGGTGGATCACCTGAGGTCAGGAATTCCAGACCAGCCTGGTCCAACATGGTAAAACACCATCTCTACTAAAAATACAAAAATTAACCAGGTGTGGTGGCAGGTGC